AGGATGAATTATTCAGACACTGGTTCATTTGTATTTTGCACAATTCTAGAAAAATGATATATCTATCTATATATATAGGGCCCTACCAATTTCACGGCTGTGAAAAACGTGTTGCGGACCTTGAAATAAGCCTTTCTCCATGAAATCTGATGTCCCCTTGTTCCTACGAGTGCCCCAGCAAAGGGGGCTTCTAGCTCTGGCTGGGCAGGGGAGGGACAGGACTTGTCCCTCCCCTGCACAGCTGCTCAGGGTGTGGGGAGGGAGGAAATGATCAGACCCACCTCCACCTCCGGGAACATCCTATGGCTGCAGGAAGCTCTGCGGTTGCTGCCTTCAGAATCCAGCTCTGAAGGCAGCTCCCTCAAACAGGTTTGTGACACCCTCCCCCATCCCCTTTTGGGTCGAGACCACCACGGTTACAACACCGTGAAATTTCAGATTTAAACACCTGAAAATGTGGAATTTACCAATTTTCAAATCCTATGGCCGTGAAATTGACCATAATGGACCATGAATTTGGTAGGGCCATATTATATATTTGACAGTATTAGTGCGACCAGACGTCCCGCGTCCTGACCGATCTCTGGTCGGGACGCAATTTTTGTCCCGATATTTTGCGCGGCCGGCAGCACTTGGCTTTTTTTTTTTTTTTTTTCCCCCCCCCCGTGTCCCGATATTTTCTTCATCTCATCTGGTCATCCTAGATAGTATGTGGCAAAGTAGTTCAACAGCAACAATATACATTTGTATATTAACATTACCTGTGCAAAAAGCTTTCTTTGGCCAATTCAATTTGTAGCGTTCCACCTTTCCACCTTGTTTTATTTAAAATGGACATACCTAGGAAACAAGCATTAGACAGAAAATGACTATTGCCCACATATATAATATTTAAGAAATGTTTTTAATCATGTCTCTTTTTGCTATATTTTATATTTTGGCGCATTATGAGACTGATCCTGCACCCAATTAGACTACTCTGTTGATTACGGGTAGCAAATTTAGGATCTAATATGGAAAGCAAAAGATATTTTCAACATCCAAACCCTATTTTGACTAAGAGTAAGTTAGCCAGTAATAAACAAACACTGAAAGATCAAATAGCTCATTCCAAATAAGGATTCAAAAATTCAGATACATCTACATTCTTAGGTTCCCTTCACACTCTATCCAGGCCTTTCACACTATCTTCAAATAGGATTTACTTTTCTTTCCCTCCTTCCCAACAGATCCTACAAGCACTGGCAGACACATTGGCAATACTGAGAGATGGAGATTGGGAGGGAAGTCCTTATTCCATATAAAGAGATTAAGGGAAGCACAAAGTTTTAGGCTGATTCTTAATTATGTTTAAATAAGATGGCCTACCCCTAAAAAGAAGGTTTCCCTTGTCCTTTTTCAAAGGTACATTATCAACCCCCGTCTTCGGGTGCAGATGACTGTGCTGAAATAATCTCAACTGGTTGACTGCAGATTACACAGGAGTTGAAGTTTTGTAATGTTCATCTGCCTACCAGAAAAGATTGGGAATCTGTATTTCCATTCTAAAAGCATTAAAACTGACCTCCTTAAGGAAAATAAACTTTGCTTAACCCATCATTCTTTATTCCCTTGAGTCTCAGTCAATTCTAATGTTATATACAAGTATCAATGTATCAAAGAGAAGAAAATATGTTTAAGATCATTTTCTAAACCTTCTCACTAAGGGGCTAACATATGCACTTCAACCTCTCTCCCCCTTCCCCAACCCACTAGGCTATTCTGATAAGACCATTGCCTCCACCCCGTAACATAAAAACACAGATACTTCAATAAAATACATTATTTTGAAGAGCATCTTCCATAAACATTGATTCCTAAAATAACTGAGCTAAATAGAATTGAAGAATGAAATAGCAAATGGGAGAGGGAAATTAAGAGGTATAGATGAAGACAAAAAAGCTATGTCCTCTACTTCAATGGCAGTCTGAGCAGGTAAGTGCAGGTTCAGGTATTTGTTACATCCTTAGTTTACAGGGATTAAAATAAACTGCAACAAATATAATTTGTGTACTTACATCTTTTAAGATCTGCTTCAGAAATGCCAATGTTGATATAAGCAAAAGTTTTCATAGGGTTCCCTGGTCAATAATCAGAAACATTTGGTTACTTTTGTATATAAAACTGTAATTTTTTGTTTTTAAAATTGAAGCATGTGTTCTCTACAGATGCTTAAGGAAAAGTAGTAGTTTTGACATGGAAGTTGTTTTTCATTACTAGTTGAAGTAAAGAACAGTTGCACTTCTAAAGTGCGAAATGAAAATATTACCCTGGTCATCTTTCCTGATAACAATTTCCGTATCTGTAACATTTCCAAACTTGCTGAATCTTTCCTGCAGTTCAGCCTCAGAAACTGTATGGCCAAGTCCTCCAACATATAAACGTTTTAAAACTTGTTTTTTCTCCATATTAAAAAGTCAGACTGTCTCATTTAGGATGTATGTTTTATCCTTCTGTAAAAAGGCAACAAAAAAATCAGTATTAATGGTTTTTGTGGTTCTGGTGCGAGCTGCACCTGTGAGCTCTTTCTCAGTCACTCGGTGGGCACTTCCAAGTGATGGCCCTAAACCTGCACTTCTCTCAGAGTGGAACCCTACAATTCAGCCCACTTTTTGACATGACTATCAGCCCTTGTTTCACCAACCATATTAACTCAACAAATCCAACAGGACTTAGTCCCTGCTATGAAATCTTCTCTGGGAGTTGTGACCCATGGTAAAAGCAGCTTATTCAAAACAGAATATGATTTATTTAACAGTCGGAATATGTCAAGTAGAGAGAATGAGGTTAAAATAACGAAAGTCCACTAAAAGGGCTTCTGATGATCCCAATGGTAAATTGATCTAGGAGCATTTGCTGGATCATTAGGTTTAACACTGGGATACTCAGTATAAGTGACCAAGAAAACCCACAATTGATAATACTATAAATTCTTCTGACATATCAGTTCCTAAGCAGACTGTATGTGTAAGAGTTGTTTTTGACAAACATCCCATAATTAATCAGGTGCTCAATTTGACCCACCTGTTCATCTTAAACATTTTATAGAACATTTAATAAGTTTAAAGACATAGTACCAGAAAGCACTCCTCTGTTCCTTTTGTGGGAAAAAGCCCACATATTTTTATAACACAAAGGAAAACAGCTTAAGTATCTTACACTATTGTTCTAATTAACAGCTAAAATGACCATAACTGAAAAACATGAGACGAAAAGTATCTTTCCAGTTTGTTTATATTGTGCATTCGACAGCACTCTGTATGATAAATCAGTCAATTCCATCATTTGTGTGTGGGTCTTTCACAGAACAGTGGAGAGAAAAACAAGTTAAAGAATAGTAAAATGTAACTGGAAAACAAAACAAACAAAACCTACCATCAGGAGCCTCAGGGCAGAAGCAATACCTGAATTACTTTTAATTCTCTTGAAAAAGGCTAGATTTCAGATTAATATAGCAAACGAATTACCTGAATATTATATTAGATTACTTTGCCATGAATTTATTAGCACTAGAGTAACTAAAATTAGGTTCTAACTCCATATTTAGGCACCTAAACGAAAGTGAGCTGATCATATGCTGGGCACTTATGGATAACCCCACATTAGTAACAATAGTATTTGTGGGTACTCAACACTTCTGGAAATAAGGCCACTTGTATTTAGGTGCCTAAATATAAGCATATTGGATCAGATAATGGTCAATCTAGACCCGACTCCTCTTATAGTGGCCATCACCAGATGCTTCAAAGAAGGTGCAAGAAACCCTGACAAGAGCAATTGATTATTTAATATCCTGCCCATTGGAGAAGTTTCTTTCTACAACCCTTGGTTAGAGAATGGTGCTCTGAAGAGTTAATGTCCCTACCAAACACTACACTTAAAAAACCCCCACACTCATATAGGGGAGGATGGTCTCATTATCACTAGAAATATCCTATTACTTTTTTCAACACCCTGGAGAAATGTCAAATCCTGCAACTTATTTCAAAGAGTCTGCTAGGCTAATAAATGCACCAAATAAAAAAAAACGTTTCCTTTTATCAGTTTTTAGATTTGCTGCCATTCAATGTCATGGAATGTTCATTATATTCAGACCACCCAGTGTTGACACATGCAGCTACTAACAATAAAAACTGTGTTTTTTATCATTTGTGTTAGAAAAAACAGATATGTGTGCGTGTGAGAGAAAACTACACATCTATCCAAAACTCAGAGATAACACAACCTTCAGCTGTACGAGTTTCGCCGCATTACCCCCACTACATTGTGACAAATTTGAACTGGAAAATAAAAATCAGTCTGGGAATAGGGAGGGCGGGGGAAGGACAGAGACTCGGGCCCCCCAAGCCCGGGAATAGGGAGGAGCGCAGAGGGAAAGACAGAGACGGGGCCACCCACAGTTCCAGGACGGAACAAGGCCCCCAGACCTCTTTCGGTCTCGGTGGCTTTTCTACCGGGATTTTTCTCTAAAGAAAAAAGAACAGGAGTACTTGTGGCACCTTAGAGACTAACAATAAAGAGCCTCCCAACGCGGGCCCCAGACTCCTGACCAGGACACCGCAGCAGCCCTGACCTCCGACTCGACCACCCGCCGAGGAGACCTCCCGAGGTGGACTACACGGATCGTGGGCGGACACGCAACGGGTTCACATACCGCACGTGTCCAACCAGGAAACGTAGCGACTCCTTCCTCACATACACGCTTTTTCTGGATACGACTCTATTCGGCTCCCCCCCGCTTCCGGGACACACTGGAAAACAAGGTTCCTAGAGCCTATAGCCCCCACCACTTCCGTCAAAGCCCCATTCGCATACGGCAGCCGCCAGCGGCTCACTGTTCCTGGCCGGCCGGGTATAGTTGGCACACATCTCTAGCTCGCGCAGACTGTGCTCGGGCTCACCCACAGGGATCAGAACGCGGGGGCATCACTCTGGGCAGCGCCCGGAAAACAAACAAACAAACAAACAAAGGCCGGGGCTCGTTGCCCGGAGGCTCGAAGTTAGAGACGAGTCGGGCGTGTGACTGGCGCCCTGGCCGGCTGTGTGCGTGTGGCCTGGGAAAGGTGCCGTGCGCTGCTTCGGCGGCCCGGTGGTATCGCCCGCAGCGCAGCGGGCGTTCGTTTGGGCGGGCGGTTCGAAGCGCCGGCTCCAGAGCGGAGGCCGCGCGGGTTCCGAGCTTACCGCGGCCTCAGGGGACGGGGCAGCAGGTGAGGCTGGGCTCGGCCCCCTGTGGTATTGTCATCACGCTCCTTGCCGGTAGGAGTCGCGTCGTCCCCTCTGTCCTCCCACGGAGGCTGGCATGGGGGGAAGGTTTGTTGAACTGGGGCTGCGGGGGCGCATTTGTAGCGAAAGAGGCGCTGGGGCTGCAGCAATTAGGTGTCTGGAGCTCAAGCAATTTTTTTATATGCAGCAAGCCCTGAGGTGCTGGGGCTATGAACGGCCAAGCCCAGAGGTGCTGGGGGCTCTGCCCAGGCCAGTCCTGACACAAATTAACCACTGGATCACAGGGTATTTAATAGTCGGTTCCTCCCTCACACAATGAGGAATCTTACAGTTGGGGAGGGCGTGCCTCCTCCCTCCTGGTCATATAGGGTGCCGGGTGCCTGAGGGGGAAGCAGAGTCTGATCAGCAAGGGACAGACCTGAACCCTTCTCTGTCCCACTATCCGGAGCCAAGCGCAGTGTTCGGAGAAGAGTCTGTTGCTGGAGGGAGCTGGCTCTGTTTCTTCCCTTTGGACATCGGTCTGTCCCCCTGAAAACAAGCAACCCACGCAAAATGTCTGTGGGATTTCCCTGAGACTCTGAGGCCTGTAGCCTCCCCACCCCCAGCCATTTGTGGTTTTGGCTCCCAAGGCTGGGAGCTAGGCACTTATATATTTTCTTTTGGGTTTATAAGATAAGAGACTCCTACCTTTGATGATCTGTGCATATCTGATAGTTATCTGAATATATAATAGATTAACATCAAAAAGGAAAATGACCAGCCCTGGCCTGTCTGGGTGCTGTGTATTCTAGGAGCAATGTTTTTAGACTTAAACATTACAAATCGTTTAGAGTAAAACTTTGAGTGGTAGGTCATTCTGTGATCACACCCCTTGAAATCGTGCAGGGAGGACAGTGTAGGTGTTGGAGAGCAAACACTCAACTTCAGGAATTTGTATCAGATGGTACATGAAAGACAAATATTTAGACTTAATAAACATACATGCTGATAATGATTTGGAAACTTGGGCATTTAAAAACTAATTGTGGTTACTTTTCTTAGAATAAACATGTACATTGCGTTTTATTCTCACTTTGAGTCTTTTGTTTTAAAGAGACGTGATCGCATAGTCTCAAAAGTGCATACTTATATCTGAAATACGTTGTGTGCTGTACACTGATAAAGAAAATCTTTGTCATTTAAACATAAGCAGAGAACATACACATCTGTTTCTGGAAAATGTAAACATTAAACTGTTTTGTTGTGTTTTCAAGCATGATGTGCCCAGTTTATTTCTGGTGTGTAACTACATTAACATCAGAATTAATTCACCTACTGTGTGTGTTACTTCTGGTGACCTTGCAGCCCATATGAGAAGCAAACACAGGTTGGCAGGCAACACAAATGTTTTGGTTTAGAGAGTGTTGTGCTGTGTATAGGAAACAAACTGTTGGTAAACAGCGCTATTAATATGGATTCAGTACAAACAGGAACATATGTAAACAACAAAGGACTAGGTTTGAAAGAACACAATTGAGATAAAACAATTAAAAATTCCAATAAGAATAAAATTCACAATTTTTATCCATATTGAGTTTTGTAATCTCTACAACCATCTTTCAAATTTATAAATCCTGACTTTGGTGTATAAGAAGCTGACAAAATCTTTAGTTTTCCAGAAACTGAAATTGCTTTTGTATGTGGACACTTCCATTGTATCTTTGTTGCCAACTGCTGATTTGATGGACAAGCTATCATAAGAGTCCAATACTGAAGTAGTTTCTTCAGTTCAGAGACTACTTAGAGCTGTGAACTGTTGAAATCTCAACATTGTTGCCATATTTGATTTAGGTCTCCTATCAGGTCCTACTGCTGATTGAAATATTTTGCCACAGTATAGCAGCTTACTGTGCTTAACCCCCACTCCCTTCCCCTCCTTCTGGGTGAAATCTTGGATCTGTTGAAGTCAATCACAAAACTTCAGTTGACTTCAGTAGACCCCCTGGACTTGGAAACTACCATGAAATCTGTGTATTTAAATGAGACCAGTATTAAATTCAGTGGAAATTAAAAGGGTCATAGGGAATTACCAATTATTTCCTACAGGGTTGTGTATTTGTTGCATTAGGTTTTATTATCCCCTTTCACGAAAAATTCTGTATGGGGGAAAGAACACACAAAGTTAGAACCCTCATCAGGTTGTCGTCTCCTCCACTTCCTTGTTACTCTGTGTTAGCCCAACTCATAAGGTGGCATAGGAGTTGGAAGCTGTTGTATGTGAATTTATTATGCTTTCAGCAGGATTAACTACCATCTGTTTTTTTTTTTCTTATAAAACAAACACCTAATGACAGCATGCAGCCTAGAAGGAGCAGACATTATGCTTTGATGTGTCCCTACTCGCAGAATGTTCCAATCCCCAATCTTAGGCTACGTCTTCACTACCCGCCGATCCGGCGGGTAGCAATCGGTTTATCGGGGATCGACTTACCGCGTCTCGTAAAATCGATCCCTGAGCGCTCTGCCGTCGACTCCGGAAATCCACATCGACAAGAGGCGGTAGCGGAGTCGGCGGCAGCGCGGCAGCGGTCGGCTTTCCCCCGTCCTCACCACCAGGTAAGCCGACCTTAAATACGCAACTTCAGCTACGGTATTCACGTAGCTGAAGTTGCGTATTTTAGGTCGGAATACCGCTGTAGTGTAGACCTAGCCTTAGAGTGATTCTAAGAGGGGTTTCTGTGGAGTCTTAGGGGAATCAGTTTGTTCCCATTTCTGATAGAACGATAGATTTTCCACTTCAGTATGGGCCTGATCCTGTGCCTGTTGAAGTCAATGGCAAAACTCCCACTGATTTCAGTTGTGCAAGTCTCAAGCCATTTGCTTTCCTCTAAACCTCATAGTAGAGGGGACTGTATGGCTCAGTGTCTACAATTCCTTTGATTTTAATATTATTCTGTAGCTAGTTTACTATTAAAGTTTGCCAAATATGTATTTCTTAGTCAAAAACACTAGGATCTAAAATATTTAGATTTCAGAATTGGTAAGCTGTGTGAGCTGAATCATGTAATTTTTAAAAAGGGAAGAGAGAAAGTTTAATATTGTTGTGCTATATATTTTCATAGTTTTTGAATCAATAAATAGGATCAAACATTAATAGTGTTAAAATGAATATACTTATTTACAAAATTTTATTTCATTTTAGTAACATTGAATCTGAGAAATGGAGAGTGACATTTATCAAGTTTATGAAGATGAAATTCATTCTTTGGAAGAAGAAATTGAACTGTTAACTCAAAAGTTTGAAAACAAACAAGAATCTACATTTTATTCTGATGAAGAGATACAAATATCAATGTATGCATTTTATATGTTCAGATTAATCTTGGTTTATGAATGTATGTTCAGCATTGTTCTTTAGGTTTAAATGTCCACTCCCATTAATGTTGTTTCATAAAGTAAACATTTTAGCAATAAAAGAATCAGAAGTATTGAGAAACGCACTTGGTATTTTAGAGGTGGCTAAAGTGTAGCCTTCAGAAGTTTACAATGTGACCTGTGGCTGCCCTCTTTAATACGAGGTACAACCTGTGGAGGTCACAGATTCTATCATGCACTGCTCTGTTGCCTTCTCTCTGTTGCATGCTGCATCTCTATATTAAAAATGAGGATAATAGTGATTTGCTATATCAAATTTGATGTGGCTTTCGGGATCCTGACAAGTTGCTAATTCTTTGACTCTGATTTAAATCTATAATTACAAAGTAAAATATATCTTCTCGAAGCAAAAGGGGTTGTTTTGATTATCATAACTGGAAAAATGCAGATAAGCTGCCAAAACTCATTTTACTGAATGCTCCTGTGGCAATGTGAGTGCTTTCCATAACCACTAGCCTGTTGGTATATGGCAGGGAACATAAAGTATTTACATGGAATAGAACTTAGATGAGTAGTGCCACTGAATTCAAAGTATAACTGAAATCATAATAAATTTCTGAACCACCTTCACATGTCTACATGTTAGAGCAACTCTTTTTAAAAGCTTTCTCTGTGCCCTGGTGATTGCTAATGGATCTTTTCAATTCTAGAAAATCACTCCAAGGAGAATCTAAACAACATGAATCTCCACCAGATCTGAAAGCTGAACTTGATTGTTTAGAATCTGACCTCTCTTTTTTAATGAAATTTACTGGCATTTGGTTCACAAATTACTCCAAGGAAACAGTGGAAAAAAGTAAGCATTTGTGTGCCTATTAGTAACATTATTGCAAGCATTTTGTCACAGTTTGCAGTTGCAGATTATAGTTCAGCATTCAACATTTGCAGAAAAGCTTGTGCTCTGAAATGATAAAACACGAGCACAGTAATTGCTGGTAAATGGAATTCTGTGATGTTATACATACTGCCAAATGATTCTTGGTTTTACACTCAATGGCATTATAAGGTTATAACAGAAGACAGAATGTTGCCTATATATATATATATATATGGCTGGAGATACATTGAAGATCTAATTTGAACTTCTAATCAGTTTGGTAGGAAAGTTTTTCACTTACATGGTTAAATGCATGATTTATATTGTGTATAACATACATTGCCCACTCTTCAAATTTATAGCTTAATATTGTTTTTGTTAATGGGGAGACAGAATAATTATTGAACGTGATCAGAAATCTAAAATATTTTAACCTACTTTCATTATAGCTGGAAACAAAACTATACAGAAGCACAGATTATCAGGAAATTGCTATTCACTGCCTTTTCAGATGGAATTTCAACTTCTAGAAATACAGGTAATGACGAGATATTTCTATTGGGGGGAAAAGTACACATCTATAACTATTTGAATTTGTCATGATAGAAGAAAAACTGAACTTTTGGAATAGTTACTGTCACAGTCCTGGCTGAGTCCCCCTGGTGGACAGCCACTGGTCTGTTATAATTGGGTCCACCTTTGAATCCTATATGCATCAAATCCAGCTGGATCTGCAGAGTCTAGTCACTGCTTCCATTTGAAGGTCTCCTAAGACATTCTCCTGGTTAAGCCTCTTGTCTGGCACCCTTACTGGGATGAGAGTCTCTGCAGTCCAACTGTGATAGGACCCAAAATTAATGTTGAGACCTTCCTAACTTCTTCAGCCACTTTGCACATTCTTCCAGAGTTCCACCTAGCTGTGGTTGCTCTGGTTTACAGTTTCTTTGTCAGGGACCACATGGTTGTTCAAGCAAAGAAAACAGGCTCTGCAAAGAAACTACTTAAAATACACATTTTACTATTAGTGCTCTGCCTGTCCAGGGACATTCAGATTAAAACTGGATTAAGTTACAGCAAACTAATTCCACTTTACTCCTGAATGAAACCATCAACGGGGGTGTGTGTGCATGGGTGGTATTGGTGGATACATTTATTTTATGCACATTGATTTCATACCTTTTAGCTGATTCGCCTTAATTTTCCTGAGTGTCCTCATGTGGACATGCCCTTAGCATAAAAGAGTTACAGATCTATGCAAAACAATAGATGCCTGAATGCAATCCTGCCCTTAGAGTCCTTACCACTCCTGAGAGTCCTTGAGTTTGATCAGTGTTGTTGGAGGTAGACAAAGCCTCTCCTGCCTCCACTCTTCCAGTTGTGATGTCTGTTTGTATTGATGGGATGGTTTGCTTGCTTGGAGAGCATGTCCGTTTTAAAAGCAGTCTCTGACACCTTTTCTGTTTCTGTCCTCCGGCTGAGAATATTCCTTGCTCCAACCTTCCTGTTGGCTGCTGGGCAGAGTCTTGTTAAAAGTCAACGAGTCTACTGAAAGCAACCCAATTGCTCTACCAGAGTGGAGCTACTTAGGGATAGTCCACACTGACCATGTTAAAGCGCTGCCTTCTGTGGTCGCGGCGCCACGAGGGGCATAGCTACCAGCGCTGGGAGCATGGCTCCCAGTGATGGTGCATTGTCTACATTGGCGCTTTACAGCACTGCAACTTGCTGCGCTCGGGGGGTGTTTTTTCACACCCCTGAGCCAGAAAGTTGCAGCGCTGTAAATTGCCAGTGTAGACAAGCTGTTAATGTTGATAGTCCCTTGATGGCCCTATGTCAGCTTCCCAGACATAATCCGTTCCTGCTGCAAAATGGAAGTTGTAATGAACACCAAAGATGACAATAAATGTTATTAATGAAAAATTAATTTGACAGACATACTATCAGACTGTCATAAATCGATCTTACATATACTGATCGCTATATGTGGGGTCGGGAAGGAATTTTCCTCTTGGTCAAATTGGCAGTGATCTTGTGATTTTTTTTTTTCTTCTTCCTCTTCAGCCTGGAGTGCAAGTTAATTGCCAGGATTATGTGAGTATATCTCACTTAATCAATTTGCTGCCACTGCAGGGGCCTCGGACATTGATGCACCTTCTATTCTCTACCTGTGGCATGTAATAGTTTAGTCTCCTGTGGGCTGTAATAATTGATTCTAATTTTGGTTGTTGGGTTTAGTATGCAGGTGCTGGGTGCTGTTATGGCTTGTGATAAATAGAATATCAACTAGATGATATCTAGAAGAAGGTGGTTCTTTCTCGGATTACATTTCTGACTCTACATTTATTTTCCAAATTTTTGGCATATTATATCTTTAAGTCCGTTACTGTCTTAAACAGGGAATATAAGTGCCATTAATATTAATCAGAAATAAGCACATGCTTCAAGAAAAAAAGACTATATTGTCCTCTTTAGGGAATTATACTGTTTCAATACATTGTTTTTATTACACACAACTTAGTGTGTTAATTTCTGTAAGCATCAGTTATTAGACAAGGGGTAATTGTTTTCAAGTTTTTTTTCTGTTGTATTTTTGCTGATGCTCCAATGTCTTCATTTTTTGCTGAGGATATACTTACCCTCAGATATTGTTATTCAGTAAACATACTTATGAATATGTAAAAGAAAAATGGTTTAAGTCTACTTGAAGAGAAACACAAATTAGTTTTGAAAGATTTGGTCAAAAATAACTACAAGGAATTGAGTTTTGACAACTTGGAAGAAAATATGTAAGTTTATTAAGTAGAACAGAGAAAACTAGCCACTCAGATGTATCTGTGAGGTGAAGAGTGATTAACATGCCAGAATGAGGTTGGGAGGAAATGGTTTCTTACAAAGTCCTTCAGATGTATACTTACATGAAGTAGTATCATATACTCAGTCTATTTGATGCACTTGTGAAACCAACATGGTATATTCAGATTCTGCAGAGCCAAAGCTTTCATTTAAAAAATATAAGTAAGTGTTTAGCTTTCATAGTAACTTTCCAAGTGCTGAGTGAGTGTAACTGATACATACTGGTGGTGTCCTCAGTTTGCAGACAGTGTGAAACTATGATGCTTTGAGTCAAGATCTTCCTTGCCCCCATTAATTTCATTAGAATATTACTTTGCACACTTAGTAATGTTTTACATGTCATCATTAACTATTTAACTGCTGTTCATTCTATCAGCTGTCATAGGGAAGTGGTGGGTGAGAATGAAGCACACAGAGGAATTTAGAGTTGTTGCATGAAAAGAAAGAGTGAAGACAGAGAGAAACAGGGAAAGGAGGATAGGAAAAGGAAAGATATACAAGACAGAAATAGCTGTGGTCCTGGGCTGAAAATATTTTCCCACTGAACAATGGTGAATGCAGTTTAACAAAGAATAATATCTGAAAGTTGAATTGCCATGTAAAGGCAGTATTCTACTTTTGATCTTTGATCAATCATTCCATTGATATCAGTGGATTGTGGATTTAGGGTAGAGTGTAAGCCTAAATTTATGAAGCAGCATATGGACTGTAGTGCCAACCCCAAGAGTTCATAAATGAGTCAGGACCTCCAAAATCATGATTTAAAAAAAAAAATTTGGGTTCTCTTTATTAGTCTTTTTGTTTTTTAATCTTTAGAGTGAACTTGGGTTATGTTTTTAAGCTTTTCCCCTTAGCCATGACGCATGTAAGCTTAACTTTTTTTAAAAGAAAGCGGAGATTTTCATTTAACCCCAGGAGTCCAAGAGTTGGACTTCTAAGAAAAACACGAAGTATCATCGAGGAGTCCTTGTGGCACCTTAGAGACTGAGAAATTTATTTGGGCATAAGCTTTCATGGGCTAGAACCCACTTCATCAGATAGCTTATGCCCAAATGAATTGGTTAGTCTCTAAGGTGCCACAAGGACTCCTCGTTGTTTTTGCTGATACAGACTAACACGGCTACCACTCTGAAATGAAATATCATGAGACTCATGACAAAATCACAAAAATTGGCAACACTGGTTTAACTACATGTGGAATTTGGCCCTCTCCAAAAATGGGTATGACTCATTGCCTTAATGGGTAGAAAAGTCTCATAATATATAAAATCTTAAGGTAAACGTAAGAAAAATATGAACATGTTTTAGTAACACAAGAACCCTACATATTAATGAGAGACATTACTAATCAGCGTCCATTATAAAGCCTTATATTAATCTCCTAAAGCTATGGCTTGGCTTGAGCATTGCCTTGTTTACCCTAAAAACAAAGGAGAATGTTTCTGCAGAATTTAAGAAACTGAATCTAATTGTTCTTGAGCTACAGATAATTAAAATATTCTGATTAGAAATTTTTTACTTTTCTAACATTTTCCCCTTAGTTCAAAAACAGTTTGGTTCTCCCCCTTCAGACTTCTGATATAAGCAAATCTTGAGCCATAATCGTGACCCTAAGCCTGCAAGCACCGAAGCACATATGTAACTTTACTCACAATTGTAGACCAATTGACTTAAATTTAGGACTGAATCCTACAAAACTATACTCAGCTGAGCAGTCATCATTTGTGCAAAAAGATTCACTGAAGTCAAAGGGTCTACTCACCTTAGTTTGTTTTTACAGAATCATGACCTCATTTAATGCATTGTGAAGTTAACATATTGAAGTGAAGATGCAGAATTTCATGTTAATATTCTAATAAAATTTCAGGTTAATATTCTAATAAACAAAAATTCATGTTGATTATGCACTTTAAATCTATGCCATTAGATGGCAGTATTTCACTATTTACTGGCTGATTATTGAATTTAAATGACATTTTTTTAATCAGAGAAATTGTTATTTTTATGTGAATTTGTTTTGATTGGTTATTTCCTGAAAAAAAAACCCACAGAAAAACCTGTGTCAAAATTATAATTTAAAATGCTAGCAGAGAGAGATTAATTTTCTGGCTTTGTTTTCCCCTCCCTTTTGCATTATACGTTTTAAGTTTCTGATATTTCATGCCTTTAAAAATATGGAGCTATATAAGCATCCGCTAGCATAGAGCAAATTACACATACAGACTCTAATGTGTATAGCACATATCTACTTGTATAGTCATTAAATACAACACAAATATATGGTCTTGTAATATGATAGAGATTTTACATAAATCAGGAAATTTAAAGCTGTGGTTTCCATAGCAATTATAATTCAGCTTCCTTGCATGCACTGTATTACTATGTATGATGTTACATTTGAAGATTTTATTTATAATGTGACTGGATTACATTCACTGTGAGAATGATATCTATGAATTATTTAGTTACAGTAGTAAAATGTCAACACAACATTTCATGAACCCACATTTTGCTTTTCATTTCTATTTTTTTAAGAAATGGACAATGCAGCATGCTTACTATGACGTTCAGATTTTTGTACGTGACTAATGTGTGTACTAACTTTTTTCCAAAAGTGTAGTTCAGAATTTTGTATGTAACGGGGAATTGAAAAAAATCTCCCCTCCCCCCTCCCAAACTAAAGAAAATATTCTATTGTGTTTTTGGTATGTTGGAGGTTCTATGAAAATATTTCTCACACTGCTATTTGGCTACCTCAGCAGCATAAAAGAGAGGCTATGTGTGAATTTTTTTGTGCATAACAACATTTGTTTAAACAAGGAATTGTTTGGGTTTTTCAAAATAAAGGTGAAATAATGGTAGTCTTGCGATTAAGGCACAAGATTGGAAGTTATGAGATGGGGATAATCCTGGTTTTGCCACAGACTTCCTGTGTGATGTTATCCAAGACACTTAGGTCTCCAGCCTGCAATGAAAACACTGAAGTCAATGGGGGTCTGCATGGATGGAGGGGTCTGCCCATATTTCTCAATGCAGGATTGGGTCTTCAGTCCACAATTTTAAAACTTGGAAATTTTGCCATAACTTCTGTTCCTTAGGCTCTCCACCTGTAAAATTAGGATGATAAATGTTTTACTTCCTAGGACATTGATGTTGGGGAACAGATTTACTAATATGTGTAAAGTATTCTGAGACCCTTAGAATAAAAATATAGCTCTAATCCCCCTGCTACTATTCCCCCCAAACCCTTTTTCAAGGAATGCCCAATTAGAAACAAATAGACCAGAACTGTATGAAAGATAAGTTAGGATTATTTTTCTTCCTCCTGTTTTGGGGATATATAAAATGGCCACAGCATAGATTTCATCTGATTCCTTTCACCTTGCAACTTAATGAGTTAAATTCTTTTGTTTCCCCAGGTTCTTGATAGAAATCTGAAAGTTTTACCACAGCAAAGGATTTTTACTTCTGTCTCTAGATTAAAAAAAAAAATAAAAAAAAAGGCCTGTACTGGTGCTAAAAGTCATTAACAATGAAAGATGGAGTCCCAAGTGCCGAAGCAGAGATCCTTTACAGAAAGATGAAGTTTGACATAAAAATACCATGAGATTCTGCCGTATTGTACTTAAACTCTCTCCAAGTACATACGCAATTTTAGCTTTATATTAACTTTAAACTCTACCACGTCAAATCTCAAGAACATTGAGGGAGTGGTCAATTAATTAAAAATTGCTTTTTTCCAGAGGACTTTTTTTCTCTTTAAACCTTTTTCAGTGGACCACAAGATGGCGTCTGGGTATAAAATGGTAGTGTCAGTTTCCTGGGATGCCAGTTTTCTATAAAGATACAATTGCTTACATCCAGTAACTGTGCTAGCAGCTTGTCTGCAGCTCTGTGCCCAGATCTGAGCCTTCTGCTATATGTTTTAATTGATTTTCTTTCCTTATGGTGCTTATTCAACTTCCTGAATTTTATAAAGTATCTTGGCAAGCCTCCTCCAACTCTAGTCATGGCAACATTGGCAATGTCCCTGTCCAAGCAATGCTACAGAATGTCATGATATGTTTTCACTTGACTCCAGCATTCCCATTAAATTTGTTTTCTCTATCTTACCTTCCCATGAGTTCATACTAGCTGGAATAGGAAAAACAGTATTGTATGCCCCAGTGCAATGAGAAGTATTAATGCTGCCTGTTTCATGATGTCTTTCCAAGTGATGTGTTCTAACTTCTAATCTTTCCACTGTCCTTTCCCAAGCTAACTGCTCTGACAGGTTTTAAAACATATAATACAAAGAATTATATACTTTCTCACTGTCTCTGTGAAAGCTAAAATTGCATACGCTGTTTGAGATTTTAATTTGGAATACACATTAATCACACTTATTTCTGCAGATATATTTGTATATACATATTCTTGTGAAGTAAAATGAAATTAAGGCAAAATGGATGTCATAAAATATAAAACAAATTCAAGAAATAAAACACAAGGAGAACTATAGAGCAAACAAATGATTTTCTTATTCCTCTCTTTAGATCACATTACGTTATTTTATTTATTGAGTGGTTGGATGACAAAGTTTTGTTTGTTACACCAGGAGTTCTCAACTTTTTTCTTTCTGAGCCCCCCCACAGCATGCTATAAAAACTGCATGGCCTATCTGTGCTACAATAACTGGTTTTCTGCATATAAAAGCCAGGGCCAGCATTAGGGGGTAGCAAGCAGGGGAGTTGCCTGGGGCTCCATACCACAGGGATCCCTGCAAAGCTACATTGCTCAGACTTCGGCTTCAGCCCCAGGTGGTGGGGCTCAGTGCCCCGGGTGGCAGGACTTTGGGTTTCTGCCATGTGTTATGCTTATAAGAAGCACACGGGATCTTTTTCGGGGGGAAAAGGCAATACGCCGCTTTTATTGAAGATACAACAATTAGCATATGCATTCAATCACACACCACACACACACTGTCCCACGAGTCGATGTTATAATTACTAGTCCAGAGTCCGGATCAATCTAGTGGCCACCTAGGTTGATCATGGGTAGGGAGGAGCCAGGTTCCATCAGTCACGACACGATGCTCCAGGGAAGTCTTGGCAGGACGAACCTGAAGTTTCATGGCAAGGCACCCTGCTTATATAGTGATTTTCCTTCATTGGGACCAATGAGTTTTGCACTGTCATGCTTTAATCAATTGTTGTTTGACGAGTGCTTGTTTTCTTAAATTGTCCTTCTCATTCTTTATCACAGCTATCCTGTCCCCATTGATAGGTGCCTGTCTTATTTTTAGAGTCGTCAATCTGCCCTCCTCTGACATATCAATAGGGGTGTGTTACAGCCTCCTGGCGCCCTTGCGTCTGTCTCCGGTTCCTCCCTCGTACATCTAGTTCAGCAATAGCCTTCACATGCATCTCTTACCACATATATTCCTCATGCACACACAAAACAGAACTAATTTACACAGAACATTTTAAATAGGAACATCAAGTTGCAATGCACAAAAAAACAATCATGGCATTCTTTTACTTATTTTAAAATGCTAGCCCTACAACAAAGTAGTGACCTTAAAACCACCTGTTACTGCCTTGAAATCAGCCCAGACACAGATTCTGGCTAATGCATCTTTACCAAATGGCCCATTAGGTCATTCCTTTCCCCTATTCAAAAAGGGTGGCTGGCAGGATATAATCAAATCATACACCAATACATTTAATACATGCTACATTATTATCTCATTATTCTTTATCCTTCATTCTAAATCATACAAAATACAAACATAAAATCCTACTACTAGACATGGACCCCAGCAAGTTTAAAGCTGGCCCTGCTTGGGGGACCCCCCTGAAACCTGCTCGTGGGGCTGAAAACTGCTGTGTTACACAATGGTGGGGTTCTGTTTGTTTATTTGTTAATATTACTTGTTGAAGTCATGCTGGGGAATGAAGAGAATGGGACAATAATAGATTAAACAGAAAGCAACGCCATGTTATGAAGCATACAAGCACCATCATCTTGTACTTCTTAAAAATTGCCATTTCTCTTCAAGGGAGCATAGGCATTATTCCAATAGGTTGTTACCTTTGTACTATTTATGTGTGTCATCAAAGATTTTTCATATAAGTAGACCTCACTTTAAAATCTGTGTTTAAGAACTCCTGTAACTAGCAAGTTTATGTATAATTATAAATTAATCTGCATTTTTTCTTAATAATTTCTCCAATCTAGAGTAATGAAAGCATATCTGCTGCTGTTACTGACCTCAGCATTATAATGGAATGTGGTGAATATTCGGATTTAAGCAAGTTTGTGTCCAGGTAAGGTTTTTGTTAAATAAATTATTTTTGTATGGTTGATATGGATGGCTCATTGTACAAGAGAAAGTATTGAGTGGTTTGATTCTTTGGATTTGCTGAAAAAGCTGTGTCATTTTCTTTGCTTGGTAACATGTTGTAATCAGTGGCTCTTAAATACCTTCAGATTACTGGGTTTGATTCAGGAATTAATAGAAGCAATTCTATGGTTTGTGTCATGGCAGGCGGGCAGATTAGATTATCATAGATTTTTTTAAGGCCAGAAAAGTACCATATGAATTATAATAATAATAATAATAATTAATGGAGATATCCTATCTCCTAGAACTGGAAGGGACCTTGAAAGGTCGTCAAGTCAAGCCTCCTGCCTTCACTAGCAGGACCAAGTACTGATTTTGCCCCAGATCCCTGAGTGGCCCCCTCAAGGATTGAACTCACAACCCTGGATTTAGCAGGCCAATGCTCAAACCACTGAGCTATCCCTCCCCCAAATTATGAAGCCATATTAAAAACGGAATACATATTTTTGTTGTAATGTGTTTTAGAAGCTAAGCTTTGTATTGCTTAGTCTAGAGATAATTTAACTAATTTCAATTAATATGTAAGAAACCCTTTCATGGACTGCTTTTCTGTTCCAACATTGTTATACATGAGCAAAATGTGTGTGATTGTATCTCCCTTTAGTGATTGACCCTCATAAAGGATAGGAGTCTGTTTCTTATTCCTAGCTAGTTAAGGACAACTGGTCAAGCAGTCTTGTGCAAAGGGACATGTGGTTATCTCAGTTTGCATATAAGCTGTAAACAATGTCCTCAGCAAGAGAGAAAAGGAAAGAAGATGAAGAAAATCTGCATCTCAGCACACACAGGTGACAGAAAACAGCATGTAGCATCTTTCCTCACTAGACTCTGTTTCCTTCTGCTCAGCTGGATAGAACTTTGAGGGGGCTGAACAATAAAAGTGAGGGGCAAACACCGCAAGGTGTATCTCTCCCTGTGCATCTCCTTCTTTGTACCCTAGAAGACAAAAGAAACAGCCATTGGACTTTGGGAGAGGGGTCCTGCCCTGTAAAGTTTGATCAGTAATTCTGTTAGAAGGATGTGGTAAGAACTTCACTTTGAATCAAGTATAATTTAAGTTAGGCCCTAGGAAGTGCTTTAACTTTATTTTTTTTGTAACCATTTCTAACTTTTATGCCTCATTGCTTGTACTCATTTAAAATCTCATTGTAGTTAAATAAACTTGTTTTATTCTTTAATTGAAACTAATCCAGTATGTTTAAGTTAAATTGTCTGGGTAACGCTATTTAAGGTGGCAAGTTGTTGTGTATTATTCCCTTAAAGGGACAACAGATTTAATATCTCTGGACTGTCCAAGAGAGGGCTGCTCAGTACAATACATATATTTTTGGAAAAATCCAGGACTGGTAGTGTATTGGGGTCACTCTGCAGAAAGAACCCAGGCTGGTAAAAGCCAGAGTGTGACCAGAGTGTGGCTGGCAGGCTGCAGTTACATACAGACATTTAGGGTGTTGTTTGCATGCCAACAGGCTGCTTGTGAGTGGTCCAGGTGGTAGCTACTGCAGTAAGGCATTGTAAGGCGCCCAAGGTGCAGAGCAGCCCCTCACTTGGTTGGATTGCACCCCAGTATGTCACAGTCATGCTACCAGCCCTGCCTACAATGGTCTTTTTTTAAACAAGTTTAATATTTTTGTTGAAGTGACTTGTAAAGTATAGTACATATTTATCACTCTTATCAGAGAGGTGAGAAGTAAGCAGAGGCACCACTGGCATTTGAACCCACAATCTTCCGTTTACTAGACAGTTGTTTAACCAGCTAAGCCATGGCATCTAGTGCTACCATCCTCATAGGTCAGGAATGTGAGGCTTACTACTGGTATCACGTAACCTGCCATGGATCAGATGCTTGGTGACTAAACCAGGAACGCCACCACTCACCAATTGGTAGTGGTGGGGTTGCCAGATACCCATTGGAATGAAAAACAATATCCACAAAGGAGTAATTCCATCTGGTGCTGACTCCTTGCAGACAGTTCTTGGTTGAACAAAAGCTAGGGGAGAAAACTCTGAACAGAATTCACTGTGGAGAAAGCGTCAGGTGGTTGGCATTGCAACTCAGTTCTGCTCTCTGGCATCTCTTGCATTGGTGCTGGCTTCCAAATATCTTGGTCTTTCATGCCTTTTTGATCCAGTCAGTATTACCAGGAGGGGGGATTTGGTCCCAAGGCAAGCCTCTGCCTCTTTATTTTTCTGCCTAAGTGTATGTGCCAAAGTTTTGGGTATGTTGGTTGCACTCTTCAAACTTGCTTGCTGGAATGTGAGGACAGTTTGCACTGTGAGGATGACCTCAGTGAGGTCAATGACCCTAGAAAGGTTGCCATCATTGACCGAGGGCTGGAGAAGCTTGACGTAGACGTAGCCACTCTCTCTGAAGTCAGACTAGTTGATGCAGGCTCTCTATGCGAGATGCATTACGCCTTCTTTTAGCATGGAAAAAGCAAACGACTATCACAAACGTGGGATGGTTTTGCAGTCAACTCCTTAGCACCCAGGGTCGAATGTCCCACTGCAATATGAGGATGTATTATATCACTAAGAATATCTTCCATAGGCAGCTTTGCCAATATCATTACCTATGCCCCAGCACTTTATTCCACCTTTCAAGAGAAGGACTTGTTCTATTAGCAGGTAGACAGTGTCACCAGCAAACTACCACTGGGCAAGTGACTATATCTATTGGGATATTTCAGTGTTAGAGTCCCTCTCATCACGAGATGTGGTTGCTATGCACTGGCCACCATGGAGTAGGAAAAATGAATAACAATGGGCAAACAATACAGGAGTACTGTGCCTTGCCTATAACTACTTCCAGGGTAGTCATGGCCAGAAGGTCTCCTGGAGACATTCCACAGCTGGCCACTGGCACCAACTGGATTTAATTGTCACCCACAGAAAACACCTACAGGATATTCACCATACTTACAGTTTTTACAGTTCAGACTGTGACACAGACCATGCTGCAAAATAAGGTTTTCACTATTCCATTATACCAAACAAAGCTTTTTCCTCACACATTAACATCAACAACACAAAAGACCAAGGAGGATGTCTTCAACTCACTAAAAATCTCCGGGAAGCTGTGTCCTGCATTCCACCTCCCCTAATTGCTGATGCAGCGTGGAACACACTTAGACTGAATATCCATATAGCTTCAATCCTAGCTTTTGGTAAAAAGAATGTACAAGATAAAGATTTTGCAGCATATGCTGAAAAAATGCTTCCAGTTATTGAAGCAAAATGCACGGCATATCTCCACCACACATGAACCATTGTCTAACCTCAGAGTGGCCAAGAGCTCATTGCAGTGAAGAGAGAGGCAATGAGCTCAATCATACTGTCTCAGTCTGTATGAAAAAATACATTTTTTTTCAGAATTGAGATCTAAGAAGTATGTATGATGGAATCAAGAAAGCAATAGATCCTTCAGCTAAGAAGACTACCCCATTCAAATCTCTTAATGGAGACATACTTATTAAGACAAGCAAACAGATGCAGTGCTGGGTGGAACATTATCACAAACTCTATCCATGTGCAACCACTATTTCTGAAGCAGCACTAAATGCAGTCCCCAGGCTCCAGACCATCAAAGAACTTAATATAGAATCATATGTAAATGAGCTTGAAAAGGAAATTGCCTCCTAGCACCAGGAAAGGCTGCAGGAAAAGATGGAATTCCAGCTGAAGTACTGAAACAAGGAGGACAAGGTGAGCTGAAACAGCTGTACAATATCTTGCTTACCTGTGGGAAAGAAGGAATGATACCACAAGACGTGAACAATGCCAACATCATAATGTATGAAAACAAAGGAGATTGGAGTGACTGCAAAACTACAGCACATTCTATAGAGCAGGGGTAGGCAACCTATGGCACGCGTGCCGAAGGCGGCACATGAGCTGATTTTCAGTGGCACTCATACTGGTCCTGGCCACCGGTCCGGGGGGCTCTGCATTTTAATTTAATTTTAAATGAAGCTTCTTAAACATTTTAAAAACCTTATTTACTTTACATACAATAATAGTTTAGTTTATATATTATAGACTTATAGAAAGAGACCTTCTAAAAATGTTAAAATGTATTACTGGCACGCAAAACCTTAAATTAGAGTGAATAAATGAAGACTCAGCACCCCACTTCTGAAAGGTTGCCCACCCCTGCTATAGAGGAACAACTACAGGAATTTCTGTCCTTAGTGTTGCAGGCAAGGTGCTCGTACGAGTCATTCTCAAAAGACTAATTTTTTGCTAGATATATATATCCAAAGAGTCAGTGTGGCTTCTGTGATGGTAGATAAACTATTGACATGGTCTTCGCACTAAGGCAACTGAAAGAAATGTGTCAAGAAAAAGTGAAACCTCTCTATGTGGCCTTCATAGATCTCACAAAGGTTTTTGATCTGGTCATCAGAAAGGGAATTTCCAATTGCTAGAGAGAATTTGTTGCCCCCAAATTCTCTTCAGTATGATTTGATCCTTCCATGATTGCATAAACTTAGGCTACAGTCCACTATGATGTTGATCAATCTGGCAGCTTTGAAATCCAGAGTGATTTCAAACAGGAATATGTTTTGGAACCGACACTTTTTGGTATATCTCTGTGCTGCTTTGTTGTGTTTTCTCATCTAGCATTGAGGATATCTATCTCCACACAACATCAGATGGAAATCTCTTCAACATTGCATGTCTAAGATCAAAAAGCAAAGAAGAGAACTTCTTTTCGGTGATGGCGCAGTGCTCATTGCACACAGTGAAGAGGCTCTCGAGCAAGTGTGCAATAACTTTGTGCTTGTTTGTGATTAACTTGGACTATGTATCAGTCTAAAGACGATAATGGTTATGGCACAGGATGTGTTGACTGGACCAGACTTTTCAATAGCTTATGTCATGTTAGAAGTTGTTCACAAGCTCTGCTATCTGTATCAGATA